CACACTCTGCACTCAATACAAACATACTACATTTACTATACACACTCTGCACTCACTACACACACTTCATTCACTATACACACTCTGCACTCATTATACACACTCTGCACTCACTACAAACACACTACATTCACTACACACTGCATTCATTATACACACTCTGCACTCACTACAAACACACTGCATTCACTATACACACTCTGCACTCACTACAAACACAATACATTTATTATACATACTTCACTAGCTACAAACACACTACATTCATTATACACGCTTTGTACTCACTACAAAAACACTACATTCATTATATGCTCCCTAGTGACATAGCTTAGCTAGCAAAATCCCTGACCACAAAGCCTGCTCAAAAAGACAAGGCTGCAGGTTCAAATCCAAGCAGGGATCTACACATCACCTACTCCTATTACCTACATATTTTGGAGGGTTACCCCCTCATTGGAGCTCCCTATTAGGTGGTTACAGTGGTGCAGCTCATGAGCCCTTGACTTGTATCCAGACTCCTGACCTGCACTCTGTTTACTTTGCAAGCTGTTAATAGGGATTTTACCCATAACCTTCTATTAACTACTAGAGCATGGATTAGTGCTCTCTGTCAGGGCTGTGGCCTGCACTCAAGGGGTGAACCCCCTACTGTATCTTTTAGGGGTGATTATTTCTGATGACTTAAAGGTAGGCAGACAATGTAATAGAGCAGCAGGAAATGCTAGCAGAATGCTTCGTTGTATAGGGAGAGGTATTAGCAGTAGAAAGAGGGAAGTGCTCATGCCATTGTACAGAACACTGGTGAGACCTCACTTGGAGTATTGTACACAGTACTGGAGACCGTATCTTCAGAAGGATATTGATACCTTAGAGAGAGTTCAGAGAAGGGCTACTAAACTGGTTCATGGATTGCGGGATAAAACTTACCAGGAAAGGTTAAAGGATCTTAACATGTATAGCTTGGAGGAAAGAAGAGACAGGGGGGATATGATAGAAACATTTAAACATATAAATGGAATCAACACAGTAAAGGAGGAGACTATATTTAAAAGAAGAAAAACTACCACAACAAGAGGACATAGACTTAAATTAGAGGGACAAAGGTTTAAAAATAATATCAGGAAGTATTACTTTACTGAGAGGGTAGTGGATGCATGGAATAGCCTTCCAGCTGAAGTGGTAGAGGTTAACACAGTAAAGGAGTTTAAGCATGCGTGGGATAGGCATAAGGCTATCCTAACTATAAGATAAGGCCAGGGACTAATGAAAGTATTTAGAAAATTGGGCAGACTAGATGGGCTGAATGGTTCTTATCTGCCGTCACATTCTATGTTTCTATGTTATGTTTCAGTGGGTAAAAATATATAAAATAAAAATTACCCTCTGCTAGATTGTGAGAAGATCCCTCAAATCTTCTTTACAAGTATAAGCAAAAACATAAAGACATAAAAGGCCAAAAATATGGTGTAGTATGTTAAAACACCAGAAAACACGCTAAGTGACAAGTATGCACTCACAAGATAGTAATTACAAGTAGGCACGTAGGAATCTTAGAAGTTCAGGAAAATTCCAGGTATCTTCATATATAACCTTAAATGAGAAGGAGGGACAGACACATAGTTCACCAATAATATTCAAAACTCAAAATTTATTATGATTGCACTCACAGGATAAAGGGAAAAATCCAGCATATCAGAGGACTCGAAAAGGTCCTTTTCAGTGCCGCTTTCCTAGTAATGGACACAGCCAGATGATGTACAGAAAATAAATAAAACAAACATTCAAGTCTTAAAAAGTGCTTTCCAGGTCCATCTGCCCGACGCGTTTTGTCCTAATTAGGACTTCCTCAGGGGAATTAATATATATATAGAACACTTCAGGATTGTATGTGTACTGTACATTGCTCTTGAACCAAAGGGCTCCATCCAGAGCTGTCTATGTGCCAGACCTATATACATCAAGGAGTAACTTTGTAACTAAAGGAATGTAATTGTTTCTTAGTTTTATTATCACTCACACAGTTATGGTTGCATAATTTAAAAATGTTGGGATTGCTTAGAAATATTGCTATAGTTAGTATATTTATATATTTTATTGCTGATCAACACGGCTCCTGACATTTCTTACCACAAAATTGACTGGGATAACTAATATTATATACCATTTGTATTTTAATATACAAATAATAAAGAGAACGAATATATTTTATTGTTGTTATTAAGGTTCCATGATTACCTTAATTAAATAGTGCACTACCATCAAGCCACCCTCACAACAAGTTATGTCACATTACAGCGGCTGCATATAGGTCGAGAATTCAATGTTTACAGGGAGATTTGGCATTAAAAAACATTGGTAAAAAGCACAAAGAGGTTGTTTAAGTATTTAGATTGCATTTGCATAGTCAGAATGCAAAGAAAAAAAGATAATGTGTTATTTTTAAATACAATTTCAATATTTTTGTTGTAACTGAGCAGCAGTCTATGTGAGAAATTGGTGTTTTGTTCTTATTTCTTGTGAAATATAGCTAATGATTTAAACTAAGTATGAGTTTTAAAATAGGTTTACTTGTTACTTTCCATTTCTTTCCACTACACCAGAAACTTTGGATACCAGTGGTAATTTCTTTTAATTGCTTTATAGTGATAGAGTTACTAAAACTGATGGATTAACCCCTTAAGGACCAAACTTCTGGAATAAAAGGGAATCATGTCCTTAAGGGGTTAAACTGATACTGTATCATCCATTATTGCTTAATGCTAATTCTCACTAGCCATAGACAAGTGAGAATCAAACAATAAAGAGTAAAACTTCAGCCCTAGCAAGTGTGACATGGTCTACTGCTATCTGTGAATATGTATTGCTCCCCTAAGTTCTCATTCATGTACTATATTATTACAATTTTATCTATATATTGTGTTAGCTATATTGCTTGCAAATGGATAGCTGAAAATGTATACTGTTTTCGTTAACTTGTGCTTTTATGTCATTACTTTGATGGTAAAGATTACAAACATGGAGTCTACTGGCTACTGGATATGGTAACCTACAATGCCTAGTTCAGTGGTAGACAACCTTCAAAACTCCAAATGTTATGGACTACATCTCCCATAATGCCCTCACAGTCATAATGCTGTCAAAGCGTCAAGTGAGACGTAGTCTACAACATCTGAAGTGCTGAAGGTTGCCTACTCCTGGCCTAGTTTATACACACAGCGCATATTAAGGAACAGTTGTTGTACATGCAGCTGCCATGTCCATTACCAGAGGTCATGTATGAGTAGCACATTGCAGTCATGATTAACTTTCATTAACAAAAAGTAATAAAGGAAATTATATTTTCAGCAGTAAAATATATATGCTTTGTCGAGAACACCGTTAGAAGCACTGTGAAACTGCTGAATTTCGTCACCTTCAATAATTTTGTCTTCTTTGCAACATTTACTGCTTTTTCAGATTCAGGGATTACTGGTAATTATTGCAAAGACATGCAAATAATGTGATAAACACTAACAATTTTATTAAAGACCCGGAGGCTCCTATTATGCTGCTCTCTTTCTTTATTACCCTCAGCAGCAAAGAATACATTATTGAAGAAAAATAAACATTTGAACTAGGTATAACATCATAGTGACAATGTCCGCCTAGTAACATGGCCATCCAATCAGTGTCGTCCTTCTCCTATAGTAGGCGGAGCATTGATGACCACTTCCTCTTTCTTTGCTGCTACCCTCAGATAAGTACACCTCTCACAGTTCTCTCACTGTGGGATCCTTTAATGTTACTTCTATTCAATATGCTATTGTACTTCATTGTATTTAATTGTTCTTTCTATTAACCTACATTCATGGGTACCTTTTACTGGTACTGACTGCATTGCACCTTTAAATAATCTTTCAAAGTATAAGTGTAGTATACTTAACAACCTGCACATCTTCCTATACCCTACACTGTCATGGCTTGACCCCCCTTATTCTATCTGCCCTGATATTCAGGGACTTGGCCGGTCTGTGGGTTTGTCCCAGGTATCACTTTAATTTCGCCGGCATCTGGCCCGTCCGCGCATGCGCGCCCAGTCAGAACGCTATCTTAAGCTCCGGCTGTAGGTCGCGGTCTGATTTAATTCTGACCGCGCATCCAGCCGCACTACACCCCTCCCTCCCCGTGCGGCGGTGTAGCAACGTTACCTTACCGCCGAACACTGGCATTCTCTTATACTTTCGCTTCGTTGGCGGCCATCTTTTTGGTTCCCGTCGGCGCGGCGGCCATTTTCTTCCAACATTTTCCCGCCCTTTTACTCTGGAACGCCCACTCCGTCCCTTGATCGGAGTTGGTGTCCAGTATTAGTGGCGGACGGTTCCCTTTTCTCCTGCTCCCCTCCATTATTTTGATAAATAGCTGTAAGTGATTTTCCTGATTTAACTTACTGCTTATTGTGTTCTGGTTATTTTCAGCTGGGTTACTTAACCCTGCTCTACAACTCTTACTATTAAATTCAAATAGCACCTGCACTGTCAGTTACATTGATTGCCAGTTATTACTTTGTTTAAATCCTGCCTGTCAGTTACACTGCACTAATGCAATCTGCTAATGATTTCCCTGGTCCCTCAGGGACAACAACTGACCCCCAAACAGCATTGGGTTTTCCCCCTATAGTTTCTGGGGATGACCTGGATTTCCCAGCATCAGAGGATATTCAGGCTATCATGGATACTACTGTGTCCAAGTCTGTCTCTAAAGCCCTGGCATCTGCCATGGACATTATGTCTTCATCTATTTCAAAATCTTTTACCCAGGCACTAAGGCAGGCCCAACGCATGGTCCCTCCGACCGCTATGCCAGTCGCGATACCATCTATTTCCAACCCATCACGCCCCGGCCGCAAAGCCTCTGCAAAAACCAAGCACTCCTCCAAGTTAACGATGGACAGTAAAACACCTGTCACAGATGGCGCGAATACTAACCCACCGCGCAAAAGAGCCTCTAGCCGGGCAAAAGCGGCTAGGCATTGGAAGTGGGCTAAAGCCCAACCTGATTCCACTGAGTCAGAACTCAGTTCAAATGAGGAGAGTGCCCCAGCCCTAGACTCAGATCAGTCTAACGATTTGTCCGACCTAGATTCGGAATATGACATTGATGAGGTGTGTAATCCCTCTACTGAGATAAATACCGCAAGCTCAGAATTGATTAAGCAGGGAAAAATCCTTGACCCGCAGGGCGAACCACTGTTTGAGCCGGATGACTTACGTCACCCCCGCTCTGCGGAATGGTCACCAGCTGAGCATGTGGCGCAATATGTCGCCTCACGGGTGCGTAAGCCTCTGGACAAGGCAACACGTAATAAACTGAGGGCTGAATGCCCACGCCCCACCGTACCAGACGAGGTCTGTAAGACACCCCAAGTCGATCCCAAGATCATACAATTTTTAAGCAAGACGGGTTGGAAACCTAAGAAAGGTCTAGACTTTTCGCTTTATAATTGTCAAGACAAAGTCTTGGATATCTTAGGTCCAGCGACCAAAATTTTCGAAGCCGTGGAGGAATCCTTGGCACAAAATGACGCCTTAGATCGCCTCACTATTAGAGGTTGGATTCAGAGGGTGATATGCCTCATAGGCAATGCCAATACCGCTCTGGCTACAGAGCGTCGTAAATCTATTCTCATTAAAATAGAACCAAAGCTTGTAAATATGGCAATTACTGAGCCAGGGGCCCTAGCAAAAGGGTACCTTTTTGGAGAATCTTTTGTAAAAGACCTGGGATCTTATGTCCAAACATTCACGGCCTTAGACAAGGCACAATCAAATCTAAAAAGGGTGTTCCACCCAAAGGTTTTTGGTGGGGCCGGCAGAGCAAGGGGCCGTCTGTCCGGCAGAGTCAACAGAGGCTCGCGCCCGAGCCGAGACTCCTATGTTGGGAGAACTCCCTTTATTGACCAAAGGTCCGCTCCGACCTTTTTTCCCCAACGAGGCAGACCATGGGTGTCGAGAGGTACTCGAGGCGCTCCTTCCGGAAGACGTCCTTACGGTAAGCTACCTTTCTCAATTTTCTACACATGTGGCGATTGGGGGCAGACTCACACATTTTTCCCATGTCTGGGCTCTCATTACCTCAGATGCCTGGATACTCAGGGCTGTCCACGGGTACCTAATAGACTTTATATCCCTTCCCACCCAACGCTCCCCACCCAGGGAGATTGCTTTTTCCCCTCTAAACACGACCCTCGTCTCCGAGGAGGTCCGAGACTTGGCTCTCAAAGGAGCTATTCAAGAAATCCCGATGCATACCCCGGGTTTTGTGAGCAACCTATTTATTGTCCCAAAGAAGGGGGGCGGATCCCGCCCAGTTATCAATCTCAAACACCTAAATACCTACGTAACTTACCATCACTTCAAGATGGAAGGCATTCACTGCCTGCGAGATTTGCTCCAACCAGCCGACTGGATGGTCAAACTCGATCTAAGAGACGTGTACCTCACGGTACCCATTGCACAGACGCACCAAGATTTCCTGCAATTCACGTGGCAAGGAAGGAAATGGCGGTTCCGCTGCCTTCCCTTCGGTCTGTCTTCCGCACCTTGGTGCTTCACCAAGCTAATGAAGCCCGTGATTGCTCTCCTACGCAGTCGAGGGATACGCCTAATCATATATTTAGACGACATCCTACTGCTATCCCAGTCAGTCTCACTGCTCCATATGCACCTCGGTTGGACCACAACCTTGCTGCAGAATTTGGGATTCATCATAAATTGGGAAAAGTCTATCCTAGCCCCCACTCAACAAATAGAATTCCTAGGTCTCTTGGTGGACTCAGTTATGCAAACCTTGTATTTACCAACATCCAAAATGAAAAATATCAAGAAAGAGATAAGACGAGTTCTTACCTGTCCACATATATCTCTCAAACATCTGGCCCGCGTGATCGGGCTCCTAGCAGCCTCCATACAGGCCATATTCCCGGGTCCCCTTCATTACAGAGCCCTCCAACGCCTACAGGCGTCATACCTGAGAGACGGCGCCTCATACGAGGATACTCTGACTCTAAACGCAGAGGCGAAAGAAGAACTCCGCTGGTGGCTCATACACATGGAGGCGTGGAATGGCAAAGCCATCTTCGGCTCGGCCCCAGATGTAGTCATAGAGTCGGACGCGAGCTCTTATGGTTGGGGTGCGCGCTGCGGAGATATTTCCACAGGAGGACGCTGGTCGGAGGCGGACTCCACACTGCATATAAATTGCCTGGAACTACTTGCAGGGTCCTTTGCAATTCGCAGCCTCTCCCCGACACTGTCCCAATGCTCAATCTTACTGAAGATGGACAACGTATCGGCTGTCCGATATATCAACCACCTCGGTGGCACGAGATCCAAAATCCTGGCGAATTTGGCGAGGGACTTTTGGCAGTTTTGTCTGCAACAAAACATGGCCGTCAGGGTAGAATACTTACCAGGGTTGTATAACACTACGGCGGATTGGTACTCCCGCCATCTACGGGATTCCAGCGATTGGCACCTCGATCCCCAAATCTTCCAGCACATTTGGGATCTGTGGGGTCCTCTGGCAATAGACTTGTTTGCCTCCCGTTTGAACACCCAACTTCCGACCTTCTTCAGTTGGAGGCCAGACCCCAAAGCTTCGGCTACGAATGCTTTCTCCCAAGACTGGTCAACCGCCAGGAACTATGCTTTCCCTCCTTTCGCCCTCATTCCTCGGTGTCTTCTCCACCTACGGCGCCAATCGGGCTGCTTGGTGATAATAACCCCCTTATGGCCGTCGCAGCCCTGGTTCCCTCCTCTTCTGGAGATGGCCATAGATCGCCCGCGGCTCCTCCCGGATGCCCAATCTCTACTACGAGACCCCGATGCGAACCCCCACCCCATGATCCGTCAGGGGCTCCTCCGCCTCATGGCGTAGCTGGTTTCCGGGGACCCTGGTCGATCGAGGGAGTTTCGCAATCGACTCTCCGACTTCTCGAGGGCTCATGGGCACCCGGCACGAGGCAGTCTTACAAGTCTGCTTGGCGCACATGGGATGGTTGGTGCATGGCACGGGGTTTGGATCCCCTATCAACTCCTGTGACAACAGTCCTGCAATTCTTAACATCCCTTTATGACGACGGGAAGGCTTACAGGACAGTAAACCTCTACCGTTCGGCCATATCGGCCGGCCATACCGGCATTGATGGGGCCCCGATAGGACGACACCCAATTGTCTGTCGTCTTCTCCGAGGCATTCGCTTTGCAAGGCCACCCCAACCTCGCTATTCCTCCCTGTGGGACGTCTCCCTAATATTGAATTTCTTGACACGGTGGCCAGACAACGAGTCTTTATCCTTGAAACAACTATCAGCTAAACTAGTTATGCTCTTATGCCTAATCTCCTGCAAGAGAGTGTCAGATGTTAGAGCACTCGATGTCAATGCCCGATCCTTCTCTCCAGAAGGAGTGGTCTTTGACATCTCACGGAGGACGAAATCGTCATCTCGGACGGTCCTGTACCCGGCTTTTCATGCGAAGCCACTCCTTTGCCCGGTAGCATGCCTTCGGGCGTACGAAGCCCGTACCGCACCCCTTCGGACTGGGTCAGACCCCCAACTCTTCATCTCCTTCCGTAAACCGCATGCTCCGGTTTCCTCTCCAACCTTGGCCCGCTGGGTGAAATGGCTCATGTCTTTGGCAGGTATTGACACCTCCATTTTCTCTCCCCATTCGGTTCGCGGTGCCATGGCCTCTAAAGCCTCCTTTGCTGGTTGTCGTTTAGAGGATATATTGAAGGCGGCTGATTGGTCTGCGGAATCTACCTTCCGTAATTTATATTTCAAACCAATCCAACATTTTGCAGAAGCCGTGATATCACAGCTTTAAAATAGCATAATAGGAGCCTCCGGGTCTTTAATAAAATTCGAGGATTTTACAATTATCATGACGGAAAGTCATGATTTTATTAAAGACACGGAGGCGAGTATTATCCCACCCACCCGCCCTTGGACGGCTTGGATGTGGGGCAAGGTAAGTTACAGACCTCTCCATGGTAAGTTCAATCTTGGTGATATTGAGGCCATCACAGGCGTTAGGACATTATCTAATTTGAGACTCATTGCCACGATTGTCCTCAGATCAGTAGTCCCTCTTACTACATCTATGAATTATTGCCACTGTTTAGTCAAATGTGTGGACCTCTATGTATGAAAACCCATCAGTCCAAGACATTACCATATTTTCTTGTCTCTTCTAGCATGACTGGGTTGAAGGAGCTCTTGGAGTCTCATACCTTGTTCTGGCTCGTTGGTTTATCCGGTTTCCTGTTCCGAGTTTTGAGTTTATTCTTCGGGATACGCAAGAAAGAAAGAGGAAGTGGTCATCAATGCTCCGCCTACTATAGGAGAAGGACGACACTGATTGGATGGCCATGTTACTAGGCGGACATTGTCACTATGATGTTATACCTAGTTCAAATGTTTATTTTTCTTCAATAATGTATTCTTTGCTGCTGAGGGTAATAAAGAAAGAGAGCAGCATAATAGGAGCCTCCGTGTCTTTAATAAAATCATGACTTTCCGTCATGATAATTGTAAAATCCTCGAATTTATTTGCACAGTGGTTTGTTTTAGTGTCACATAAACTTTTTTAAATGTTGCTGAATGTGTTTTAACCCTTTAAGTCTAGAGAGTAGCTACACACAGACATTATATAGTGACATTTTAGAACCTATCACATGCATGAATACAAATAACAAGAACTTAGAACACTAAGGGCTTAATTAGTATCACATTAATCACGTCAATACTTTGATTGCCAGTATATGACAAGCTATGTGTACAAAGTCAATATGACAAGAGAGAAGCATGCATTGCATAATTGTAGCGGATGGCATTGGGCTGTCCTAAAAAGTGCATTTATGTCTATGTATTCGGTTGAATGTTAACTTGTAATATGTGAAGTGTATGTAGCATTCCCCTGATTGTTCGGTAAAATCACTCCAGTTCTTAGGTGAATGAAACTACCGAACAATCAGACCACCCCAGGGAGAAGTGTGCCTCCAATTACCGTTCGCAACAATGTTGCAAACGGGTAATTGGTGATTCGTGTAATGTGTGTTTTGTCCTCTGGGTGGCCGCCATTGGAGAAACGAACACGTGGCGGCGGCCATTTTAAAACTCCCAAACAGCGGTGTTTTGCTGTCGAGTGTCTGGAACCCAAATTGGACACTCTGCTAGGCAAACACTGCTGAAACCTCCACACTACCTGTAAATTCGTGTAGAAATTACCGAACGGCTACCCGTTCGGTAGACAGAAACCCACGAACAAGGGGATTCATTCGAATCCTCTCCAGTCTCCATAGCTTAAGTAATTCATGCAGTTTATCCCCCTTTTCTGTGACCGACCGCAGGGCCAAAATGCATGGAACAAATATCGTCTGTTACTTCCCGGGCGGTCTGTCTTTTTACTACTTCCATCAATCTCCCGAACCTCTGGTCTGATCTGGGTGATTTTTAGATATGTTCTTCACCCAGATCAGGGCTACCAGGGGATATAATAATTAAAGGGGTACCCCTATGTTTAGGGGTACATCCAGGAACCTAGGAAATGTGTGTACTGCATAATGGGATTATGAGTCAGGCTAAGGGGAGGGAATGTGTGGGCGGTAACTCATGTATGATTGGCTACTGTAATAATTATTGTAAATCCCTCCCTTGCATGGGAGCATGTTTTAAAAGAAGGTGAAGTGATTAAAAGTTCAGTTCTGCTCCTGATGCTTTGTGTCGTCCAGTCATTGGGATCTGTATGGGGATATTTTGGATTAGCTTGCTTGCTGGAATTATTACGTTATGGGATTTTTCATCACTTGTTCCTGAGCCTCACTGGGATCTTAGTGGAGTTAACCTGTGAAATACCAGGCCTCCGCTACAATAATGATAATCAGAAGGCACATGGAAGGATATTGATGTGCTATAATAAAATATGGGTGGTGACAATACAAACATACTTTTTAAAAGTTAGTAAAAAGGTTAGTCAAGAAACAATCTGCCAGTGCTTCACATGTGCTTCCTTATGTAACTGAATTGCTATGACTGTGAATAGCCATGTCATATGTGGCCAGCTGCATTTATGCATTCACACTGGGACAAAACAAATTATGATTGAACTCTAGACTGAATTTGTTCTAAACTGCAAGCAATCCAAATATGGGCTGATTGGGTGATCGTTTGAATTCCAGAACTCAGAGTCGATATATAGGTCAGTCACTAAATGAAATCACAATGGCTGAGTATGTTGTTTTGAATTCTGTCCATGGTGCCAGAAAAAGAGATGATTAATGTGAAAAAAAGTTGACTGATAGCTAGGGGACAGTCACTCAATATTGATTTTACTTATGGATCAAGTGACAAGGGATCAATAGAGGGACATAAAGGGAGAGCAGTAAATATATATATATATATCTATATATATATAGATATATATATATATATTTGTATATTATATATGTTATCAATATAAGTCTGGGTACAGAACTCCCACTCCCGAGCCATTTGTTAGTGAAAATGTTACCCTTTCAAGTAGAATTTTTATTTTTTCAATTTGACAATTTTTATTTTATAAAGTTTGGTAGAACAAGGGTATAGAAAAGAAAAGGGGGGGGGGGGGCTATGGTTGGGGAATGTTACAATATGAGTATAGCAATGCAAATATACTGCAAGACAGTTAGTAATGATAGACATTTGATTACAACCCCTACATAGTCATTTTACTTCACAAATATATTTATATAGCAAGGTGAATCCAGCTGTTCTGCTTTGGACTATACAAGTCCAATAGATCTATATCCAACAATTTCCAGTCTCCTGCATTGGCTATTCTTCCAGCGCACCTTTAATTAACACTTTTTACAAAGCAGTAACTAATGGGGTACATAAAGAAAATAGGGGGGTTACAAGGAATAGGAAATGGGGAAGGATAACAAGTCAACCCTGTGAAGCCTCTATGTTCATATAACCTCTAGTGGTCTGAGTCCATACCTGGTGTGCCTGTATCATTATCCTGTGCGTGCTAAGCCATTGGGTAGATGATTCCACCGCCATACGTTCATGTGTGTAGAATAAGTGTATTTTCTCTATAAGTTGAGATCTAGATCTATAAGTTGAGACCTGTTGTTTCCAATGTAATACGATTAGGTGTCTTGCAGCCAGTATGATCAATGAACCCATCTGTTTAGATGTTGTGGAGATGCCCTTGGGGAATTTCAGAAAGAGGCAAGTGTCGCTGTTAATGGGTAGATCATTGATAACTATCTGTGACAATCCCCTACCTACTTTGTCCCATAGAGGAGTTATATTGTGTCACTGCCACCAGATATGCGCCATGCTGCCTTCGTGCTCTCATCTCTCTTTGCTTAGGTGTCCATAGGATATCTCTTAAGGAGCTTCCCTGGACTCTGGAGCTCTCCATATCGACCCATTGCAGATCCCGTTTTTGGGCATGCATCCAAATAGCCGATTCCGACAGGGCAGCCCTATGGTACAATTGCAAATTGGGGACACCCACACCACTTTGAGAAGAGTGGCACTGCAATATTGTGAGTGCAACACAAGGTTCACGAGAGTTCCATATGTAGTGGCTACTAATCATTTGTATGTGTCTAGTAAGAGGGAGGGGTAAGCGTAATGGTAGCATCCTAAATGTGTATAACAGCTTTGGCAACATGACCATTTTAGTTGTGTTAACCCTGCCCAGCCAGAACAGCTTAACTTGTTTCCATTTTGAAATGGTGGCAATACACATTTGAGCCAGTGTTTTCTAGTTTAAGTTGAAGACCCCCCTTACAGATGAGGCCAGCTTGACCCCAAGATAGGTAATGCTGGAGTTCCTCCAGTCAAAGGCATATAATTCCATGAGTTGGCTCACTTCAAGGACTGACAAACCTATTGGCAAAGCTTGGGTAAGACTGATTAAGCTTAAAATATACTATATTTCCAGATTTCTCTAATAGCTGGAGGAGTACCGGGATAGAGGTACTTGGGTTGCCCAAGGTCAACATTATGTGACAAACGAGAAGTTTCCTTTCCCTTCCTTATCCCTTTAATGTCTTAGTGCTGTCGTAGTTTGTGTATTACTGTAATGGCTCCAGACACAGGATGAACAATAAGGGTGAAAGAGGGCACTCCTGTCACGAGCCATTAGTGATAGGGAATGGGTCAGATAGGAAACCAGAATTAGCTACTCAGGCTTTTGGTAGATTGTAGAGTGCTAGTATGCCTGCTATAAACGACGGAGGAAAGCCAAATTTGCTGAGCACTTGCTCCATATATTGCCAGTTAAGCCCGTCGAAGGCCTTTGCTGCATCCAGTGCTAGGAGAAGACTTTCACTTTTTGTAGTCTGCATGTGAGATATAATGTTTAGTATCTTGCGGGTATTGTCCGAACCTTGACGGCCACGGACAAACCCAGATTGATCCATGTGAATTAAGCGTGGAATGATCCCTGGTAGTCTGTTGGCTAACAATCTGGCATATAACTTCAGGTCTAAATTTGATAACCGGATGGGATGGAAGTTTGAGCAGGCAGTGGGTGGTTTACCTGGTTTAGGGATGGTGGAGATTAACACGCTGCTTGGGATCTCACCTCTATAGAGGTGACGCAGTTGTTGAACAGATCCGCTATGTGTGGGGAAAGTATGTAGTGAAATGTGCGATAGTAAGCGTTAGAGTAACCACCTGGACCCGGTGCCTTATGGGCTGGGAGATTATTGATGGTATCCAAAATTTCTTTAATGGTAAAAGGGGATGTAATACAGTCTAAGTCAGTCTGCTGGAGGCATAGCTGGTCAATGGGGCCTAAAAAAATGATGTATAGTGTCGCTAGATGGGGGAGGAATGTAAGGGTCATCCTTTAAATTGTATAATTTGCTGTAATTCGTTGACAATGTCTTTACTGGGCTTGAGGAGTTTGATTTTAGAGGGAGAGTTAATGTGGGCAATTTTGGAGTGAGATAAGCATGCCTTCAGCTGGGAGGCCAGGTGTGCGCCTGCTCAATTACCGTAAGCAAAAAATGTATGTTTGCATTTCTGAAGCAGGTACGTAGTTTTGGCTAATTCAATCTCTTTTAGTGTATTCCTTTGGAATCTCAGTTTGGCCTGTAAGTTCGGGGAAGGGTCGTGTTTTTGTGTGTCAGGTCAGCAAGTTTGGTGATCGTGTCTGTGTATAGCTTAGTCCTTTGTTTCTTTGAAAAGTTAGCAGCTTTTATAAAGTTTCCTCTTATTACAGCCTTGTAGGCTGTACACTGGTATCCTGTGTGGGGTTGATATGAAAATAGCCACATAGCTCCTTCTTTATTTTCTCCATTATGGAATTGTCATGTAAGAGGGAGTCACGAAGTCTCCACGTGCTTATGCCCTGGGAAGGAAATTGTTCTTGTAGGGAAAGGACAGGTTCTTGTAGGGAATGGGCATGGCCTGACCAGGTGATCAAACCAATGGTAGTGCTTATGACCTTTGC